AGGTACCTAATTAAAAGCACTAAATTTAGGAATAAAAAATGTCAGTCACAGGTATTTTGATATACCCTGAAGTTTGTCAGAGATTTATTTGCAAAAACTTTCTAGTAAGGGCAAGTCAGCTGTCCTGATGAATAGAACATTAAATATTATGGAATACATGATGCAGCTCTTCTCCATTTTACATTTTCTTAATCAGTATTTCTAAGCTGATTTTATATTTTAAATGTACTATTAAGCCTTCATAAAGTAATCATTCCAGAATACTGCATATTTAACTCACTGAAGCAAAGACATTATTTTAAATTAATCAGTCACAGAGGTTTAGTGTGTTCATAACAATGTTCATTGCTTTTAGAAAAAGGGAACACTAATTTACTGTCTATACTCATTCATAAGCCGAATATTTTTGTTAAAAAAGTGACGTATCAAAGAGCGGGGGTCGGCTTATAAACGGGTCTACATCAAAATTTGATGATTTAAAACTCTATGGAATCATTGAATTGAATATCTAATACGCGGGCCGCCAGAGTAAGATTTGTTTACCTGCCACGTCCGCAGGTTCGGCCGATCATGGCTCCCACTGGCCGCGGTTCGCCGCTCCAGGCAAATGGGGATGGCAGGAAGCGGCGGCCAGCACATCCCTCAGCCCACGCCATTTCTTGCAGTTCCCATTGGCTGGGAACAACGAACTGCGGCCACAGGGAGCTGAGGGGCTCCATGGCTGCAGACGCTCCAAGTAAACAAAACGTCCCGACCCACCAGTGGCTTACTCTGATGGGCCGGGAGCCAAAGTTTTCCAACCCCTGAAATATAGGGTCGGCTTATGAAAGGGTCATACAGTTTTTGCTATTTTTACCTATCAATTTTGGGTGGTCGGCTTATAAATGAACGGGCTAATGAACAAGTATATACGGTACTTTGTGTGATCTCCATAACAACAGACATGTTTATGAAATTTCACCGACTTTAAAAAATATGTTTCCAAAGATTTTAGACATAACAAAGGATTTTATATCTTACTAAGGTACTGACTTTGCTGGAGGGTTCTCTTAAAACTAGTTCATCAAATAGTCAGAAGTAAAGAACGGGAAACTCGTTTGTCTAGCTATCTGGAAGGAAAGGGGTGTTTTCCCTTTAAGGGCTAGCCACTCTTCAACAGGGGGATGAAGGGAGAAAGGGATAGACAGAAAGGACAGGAAGACTTTGGAAGCAAGTTTTTTGTACTATAGTAATTAAAATTAAAATGTGTATTTTAGATAAGAGTGGTCTTTTGAAGGATTTGTTTAAAAAACTATATGTCTGAAGATCCAAGCACTACAGTAATGCACAACTGTTTTTGTCAGTAAATTCAGAAACTGACAGTATATACCTAGGGGTTGGCAAATGCCTGTTAAATGGCTTCATTACTGCTTGAATGGCTCTTTAACAGTTTCAGTGTTGTGCTAATAGGTCTGGCAGGCTGGAAGCCTTTTTCACTTTTAAGTTACTAGATCCCCTCCAGAGTAAGAGTCAACAGGCTGCAGCAGCTAGCTGTGGGAGCCTGCAGGAAGGGTCAGAACAGGGATAGGAAGAGGCGGGTGGGTGGACACTAAGACCCAGGGGTGCCCCAGATTTTCTGGTGTCCTATACAGCCGTGTATGCTGCCTATGCCTAAGGACAGCTCTGGATGTAATGTCATCATTGTCTACTATACTGGTCAATGCAGTATTGTTGTAGCCCTATTGGTCCCAGGATATTACAGAGACAAGGTGGGTGAGGTAATATCTTTTACTTGACTCAACTTCTTTTGGTGAGAGAGAGAGAAGCTTTCGAGGTTATACAGAGCTCTTCTTCAGGTCTGGGAAACTAACTTAAAGTGTCACTGCTAAATACAAAGTTTGCACAGATTGTTTTGAACAAGTAGTTAACGCATATTTCAAGGGATCATTCAGGTGAAGTGGCCTATTAACATCCCTCCAGTCATAGGGAGGAAAGGAAGGGGGTGAGTGGGAAACAGCTGGTGAGGGGTTGTTAGTGGATTACAGATTGTTGTAAGGAGCCATACATCCAGTATCTCTATTAAGTACATGATTTGTAGTGTCTAGAAAAGTTATGAATTTAAGGTTCCAGATTCGTCTTTTGAAAGTGTCATGCAGGTTTCCTTTTAGGATGAGGACTGATAGGTCATGTATAGAGTGATTGCTTTGTGAAAAGTGTTCATACATGGATGATATGGTGCTTTTGTCTTTTACCAATTTCTTGTGAATGTTCATCGAGAGCGTCATGATTGTATAGTTCCACCCACATAATTGGTATTGGGGCATTTAATGCACTGGATGCGGTACATCACAGTGCGGCTGGCCTTGGGGCTGCCCCAACAGCGACCAGTGTGGCTGGCCCCTGGACCGCCCCAGCTGCTGGAGCGGCCCTGGGGTCTGCCACACTGGCTGCTGCAGCTTTGGAAGTCATGAAAGTCCTGGAAAGTCACGGAATCCGTGGTTGATGTATTGGGGAGGTTGGTGTATTGGGGAGCCATCCTAGTACCCATGGCTGTTCTCATGGTTTGGACAAAGTGTTTGTTACTGAATGTAAAATTGTTATGGATGAGGATGAATAAGTTTTGCAATGTGTTTGGTCTGGATATTTGAGAGTAATCCATTGTCTTGTAAATATTTGAAACGGAGCTAGTCCATCATTGTGAGGGATGTTGGTGTATAGAGAAGGTGATATTTCTGGTGGCAAGGATGGTGTTCTGAGGGAGGCTGTTGATGTTGCAGTTTGTGGAGGAAGTTGTTTGTGTCCTGGAGGAAGCTGGCCCTTTGGTGCGTGGTTTGAGGATGGTTTCTATGAGCCCGATATTCCTTCAGTAAATCAGGGGTTCTCAAACGCGGGGTTGTGACCCCTCAGGGGGTCGTGAGGTTATTACATTGGGCTGCGAGCTGTCAGCCTCCATCCCCAAACCCTGCTTCGCCTCCAGCATTTATATTAGTGTTTAATTTATAAGGGGCGGAGGTCGTACTCAGAGGCTTGCTGTGTGAAAGGGGCCACCAATACAAAAGCTGGAGAACCGCTGAGTAAGACTGGCCAGATATGATCTGCCTAAGAGGTGTGTGTTTTCCTCTAATATGCATCAATTGGAGTAGTATTTCCCAATCTTTCCCCCCCTTCTCTTAGATCAGTAAATGTACACTGGCCTACACTGGCTCATATATATACATATCATCTTCCTCTGCTTCACTGATGTATTATCCTCAGCCTACCCTTCTCCATTTCCTTTCTCCTTCTCAGCTGTTGGCCTGAGAGCCAGGAGGCCCAGGTTCTATTCCTGACTCTGCCACTGACTTGTATGACTTTATGTAAAACTCTTAAGCCACAGTTTTCAAATGTGACTGCCAAAGCTTAGGTACCTAAATTCACACATGGTCACCTAAATAAGTGGCCTGATTTTCAGTGATGCTGAGCATCCGCAGCTCCCATTTACTTCATTGGGAATTGTGTTCACTGGGCCTCTTTTATTTAGGTGCCTTAGTATGAATTTAAGTGCCAAACTTTTTTTTAAGCATCCTGTTAACAGCCCTCAGATGTGTGTGATCTGTAGGTCATTGACTCTTATACCATGAAGAAGAAAGAGGCAGAAGAAAAGGAAAAAAAATGGGTACATTAAAAATATAAAGGGAAAAAACATAGATTCACTGACAAAAACGGTTAACTCAGAGTTACGGTTGCCTGGAGGTTAATGCAAATTCATAATATCTATCTTCTTTTCCTTGGCTGACTTCAAGAACAGAGCTGACAGCAGTGGAGAACTTGAGACTTTCAGGCTGCATTTCTTTAAATTTTTTCTGCAGTTGACTGACATTCATTCATCCAGGAAGCAACCTGTCTTTGAGTAAGAAGGGAGGAAAATTCAGAATTTTTGGAACTTGAGAGTTTTCCCCACTGGAACCAAATGCACATTTAAATATCACTAGTGTACACATCTTTTAAGAAGATAAAAACTGTGACTTAAGGGGATAGATGATTATGTATGCATAATGAATCCATCTCATGGCATCTTTATCAGATATATATTTATTAGGGACAGGAGGATAATGTGGTTTAACAAAACCTCTGTTCTGTTATTGATACCATTTAAGTAAATGGCAGAACTTATTTTAACTTTCCCTCCTTAATTTTAAACCCTGTTTCATAAGGAGGGGCTTGTTGCATGGACTCATTATCCTCATTTGAAGGATTTCTTGATTGCCAGTCTTAGGTCTCACCCAGTAGAAAATACTTCTTCTCTACATTTCCACTTGGTAGTGGACATTTAAGAGAGACATTTAAGCTTAGAAGTGGCACTATGTGATATATGAGGTCTATAAAGTGGCATGACAGTGATTTCAAGTCATTCTTACAGCAGGTAGAGGCAATGAGAAATCTAGGAATAGTAACATTGGACAAAGTTAAATGTAAGACCAAATACCAGAAACAATGTATTTTGCCATACTGGATGTATGAGTATGGTATATGCTCTCCAAAACAAACATTTTTAAAATTAATAACTATATGCTTCTAATAAACTAATAGAGTGATTTATTGCTATTTACAGCCTAATAATCGGAGACCACAACTGATTCCTTAAACTTGGTTCACATGAGATTTTATCTTCCATCATCATTATTATTATTTAAGGAAAGGAATAAAAGCTGTGGTTTACTATCTGAACAATTCAGCCTGGCTCACTTAATGTGCAGTCTGAAAGAACAAAGGGTCTCCAGATAATGTAAGGAGAGTAAAACCCATTAGTCAGTGATTTCTCAGCCTTAGTGTGTTTATTTTCCGTAACATAATTTATTGTAGGAAATGCTGGCTAACACAAACTTTGTCTACTATCCCTTAATTAAGTGTTCTTGTTCCATATTCATAGAAATAAAGTGAGTAATGCAGCTCTTTTCTTTAACTTAGAAAAAATGTAAGTCATACAAAATTATATGTATAATGGTAATTAGAGTTTTTGAAATAATCTCTATGTTTCATAGTGCTCTGCCCAGCCAATGAAATGCGTCTGGATTCAACAGGAGTCATACTGAGCCCAGGCTACCCTGACAGCTACCCAAACCTCCAAATGTGCGCTTGGACCATTACTGTGGAAAAGGGTTATAATATCAGCATGTTCTTTGAATTCTTCCAGACAGAAAAGGAATTTGATATACTTGAGGTGTTTGATGGTAACTACAGGATATACAACTTTGTATGCTTTTATATTTATGCCTTGTCACCCCTGCCCCACTCCCTGCCACTTAGACATATAATAGAAATACTCTTTTTTGTCTAAATAAGTCATTACTTGAGTTTGTTAGTATAAGTAGTGACATTAGATTGCATTGCTTTTCCAGATTGTATTGCATTACTAATCAGTATGACTGTGTGTGTGTATATATATATATTTAATTATCTTTTATGATCTATTCAATAATACGTAGCATGTGGTTAATGTAAATTCCACTGTTAAATCTATTTCATTTACCATTACTCAAGGAACATTTTGTACATGTTTAATTTTAATCTTTATATTTTCATTTTTTTCTCCTCCTGTATCAAGGACCAAATAGTCATAGCCCATTGCTTATTTCCCTAAGTGGGGATTTCTCATCCTCTTTAAATATATCCAGTAATGGCCATGAAGTGTTTCTCCGGTGGTCAGCAGATCACGGCACCAACAAAAGAGGTTTCAGGATAAGATACATAGGTATGTAAATAAAATGTGTCCTTTTCTATCTGCTTAAAACTTCAATATGGAATGTATGGAATGTATTTATGTATGTACAAGGATAATGTGAGCTACTTTATTAGACACTAAGCCTCTAAAACTGAAAAGAAAATCAGATCTCTTTTATATTTGAACCAGATAACTGATTCTGTATAAAATATCTTTATAAAATATGTCTTATTTAGAATGGTATGACAAATACTCAACATAAAGAATTAATTAATTCCTGCTGCTCAGAATAGAAAACTGGTTGAAACCTAGGGTCAAGTATTGCATTAGAGCTGCATACAACTCCATTCAACTGCCAACCAAGTGCTGCACAATGCCTTAAAATATTGTGGGGAAAGGGGAACAACTGTGAACTTGCCTATATATGATGGTCAGACCCCAAATATGGTAACTATTGCTACCACTTTCTGATAAGTAAGTATCAAATTGGTTGAACCCAGTTTGATGTTCTCCGTCCCTGAGTTTTTCATCCTCCTCTACAGCACAGAGGCTGTAAGACCGAGGTTGGGACTGTTCTACTGTGTCCTGTAAAATCTCCTCCATGTACCTCTGTCTCCCTTAGCTCCTCCAGTTCAGCCACTCTGGTCTCCAAAGCCTGTACACAGTCTTTCAGGGCCAGGAGGTCCTGGCACCGAATGCACACATACACCACATACCCATAGGGTAGGTAATCATACATGCTTCATTGAATGCAATAAATTGGATAGCCCCCACTCTGTTGCTGGACTTCTACCTGCATTCTCATTTTAGTCCTGAAGCTCTTTCCTCTGTTGTATTGTTTTTTATTGGGAGAGGGGTGTTTATTGCCTTAAGTTTAAAGAATGTTAAGTGTATTTAGTCCCCCTCCCCCATATTTCCCCTCTAAACTCCCTCGCAAAACTCTTGTTAGCTGCCACTGTACTCTAGCTCCTCTGGTTGCTTAGGAGTGGGCTTGGTCTTCTTGAGTAGCCAGCCCTCAAGTTAAGGGTTGATGGGTGCTAAAGGTCATAGGGATCAAAGCATCGTTAAGAAGCTCTTAACCTTGCCTAACATTCTGCTATGCACTGCACACGGTCCCCCAAACAAAACAAGCTCAGTCTTGAAGCTAGTTAGGTTTGTTGCCTCCACTGCTCCCCTTGGAAGGCTGTTCCAGAATTTCACTCCTTTGATGGTTAGAAACCTTTGTCTAATTTCAAGCCTAAACTTGATGACCAGTGTTTGTTCTTGTGTCCACATAGTCAACTCATCTCCCTGCCTGGTATTAATCCCTCTGCTGTATTTAGAGAGAGCAATCATATCTCCCCTCAACACTCTTTTGGTTAGGCTAAACAAGCCAAGCTCTTTGAGTCTCCTCTCATAAGGTAAACGAAGCAAATGAAAAATGTATAAGAATGATATACAACTCCCACTGGAAGTTAACCACCTAAATAGATTTAAGAATCTGGGCCAACATCCTATCAGATTATTAAAACCTTATTTCTAACCTTATTATCTCCACTCACACTTATAAAGATCTGTAGAGATGCTTTCCCTATCTTCAACATTTTGCATGTCCTCTAGGATTTCTGGGGAATTTCAAAGAGAGAAAAATGCAGCTGCAAAGTAACTGATGCTGGTTAATTGGGGCACTCAGAAGTACAATTAAGATTGTGGTACTGTAATTTTTAATAATTCACTTTTAGTTCATACATGGTTGACATTTGTAGAAATAATTTTTGTTGTGAACAAAAAAAATACAATAATCTGAAAAAGGAAATCCTTGGCCGATAGACTTGTTGGTTTTGATTTATTAAGGGCATTTTTCATAGTAGTAAATATTAAAGCAATTTAGTTTCTTTAAGCTATCATGGAACAAAAATACTTTGTTGTACCTTGTTCAGCAGAGAAGTTGTTATAATAATAGTTGTGCTGATGCGTCTTGATTTCACATTTGCCATCTGGGAACCAAATCCTGAAGTCCTTATTAGGCCTTATTCTGCCACTTTTACTTTCTGAATAACGCACTACTGAATCTAGATAAGGGTGCCAGAATCACTATCGTAATGTCTTTTCTCAGTCCTTACACAGGCAAATTCTCAAAGAATTCAGGTAGCGTTAGTGTGGAAACTGAATAAAACCCTCAGATTTGGCTACCGAACATTAACAGAGGGGGAAACATTGTTTTGTTTTGTTTTTTGTTTTTCCCAAAGCTCTTTATTGTAGTACTCCTGAGTCCCCTCCACATGGATTCATTGTCAGTCAGACAGGTGGACAGCTCAACAGTATGGTTCGCTGGGCTTGTGATCGAGGATTTAGGCTTGTTGGGAAAAGTACCGCTGTATGCAGGAAATCTCCATATGGATATCATGCATGGGATGCACCAGTCCCAGCTTGTCAAGGTAAATATGTTTAATCACAGATTAAGTGACATATTTTAGCAGACTATTTTCTCCTCTTCTGATTTAGGCCATCAGTTTTTCTGATTTAAATAAATAAAATAAATTTGTTTAATTTTCATTCATGGGAACCAAAATCTTCCTGCCAGTTCAACCCTACAAACAAAACTAATAAATCAAATATTGTAACAGAATCTACTAAGGTTAGCAACTATTGATTATATGACTTTGGAAGTCATTTTGTATCACATTTTGTGTAGTTGTGAGCAAACTGACCTAGATAAAATGTAATCTCACCTGAATCTTCACTTAAAACTGAAGCCAACTTTATGTATGTATGCATGCATATATTTATGCATGTATTTATTTATTTATTTTTGGATGGTCAGAAAAGTTCTCTCAATTTATATTGTTGGTTTATTTTTCATTTCTACATTTCTCAGTGTTATATGTTTCTATTAGGATTAATATTAGAAGGGCCAAATAACTATTCCATATTTATTCATGATCCACCAACTATAACGATCCCGAAAGTACTAGAATACATGAGATTTCTAATGAAAAGTAAATGTTGTTTTTTTTAAAGAAAACTATCTGATGATTTTGATGTCTACCTTAATATTTTGAGCCTCAGATTGATTTTTAAACTTAATCATTTGGGACAGAACTCTTCAAATTAACATTATATTTAGCATCTCCTGTCTTTAGAATTGCATGCCAAGGTACTGTATGATTCCTTAATAATTAAATAGAAATGACTGTGTGGTTAACAGTTTGGTTTACAACATATATTTTCTTAAGAAGAATGCTATTGTGTTAGTAACATATATCTTATTGAATAGTAAACTATTAGGAATATTCATGAAACATGAAATGTGCTGTCTACACTTTGTTTCCTTTAAAAACAAGGAATTCATATTATTCTGTTGTATAAACTTGGACAAAATGATCATTCTATTTTACTATTCATGCAAGGTTCTCAGACCTTATTAATCACACAAGTACAGAAGCGGCAGACCTTCATTAGGGATGTGCCAACCAAATACTTTAGCTGCTTATATGTATGCAGACACTATGTTCCTGCTGACCTATGGAGAGAAGTGAAATTGAAGTTTGTTTCATGTTAATTTTCCACAAGTAGTTTTGGGGAGCTAAACCTTTCAACTGAATTTTTTTTAAACATAAGAGTTCTGTATCTGTATTATGCAAACACCATGTCAAAAGCTGTGATTGCTCACTGTCTATTAAAATATTAAAAGCATGAATGTTTTCTAAATGTTCAAGTGCTCAGAAATGAAGTGCAGGTGTTACATGTGCAGTGTTATATTCTTTTAACCTTCCTGATTGTCAGGGGATAAAAATGTATGAGGAGTATCTTCATGAGAGCTAGTCATGGATCTTGATCAGATTTTTAACTACATATCTCAAATAAGTAACTTTGTGTTAAGAAAATAGTTAAATCTATTAAATGGAAATACTAGTTGATTTTAGTAACTATATGTTTTAAATAGTTTATTAACGGAAGTTGTTGCATAATTGGTAACTAGTTGTAAAGAACTAGTTGAAAAAAAAATATTTATTAATTGCTTGGTATTCATTCATTGCACCCACTGATGATGATTTCTAAAATTTAATAAGATGTTTATGTTAATTACATGCCAATTAATTATAACTAAGCATTTAATGAAGGTTAACTATAATTCAAATTATGGACTTGATTTGCCCCTTGGTTATATCTGCTTCCATCATGTCCCTGTTTGTAGAAGGTGGTTGCAGCAGTGTTATGTGCCTGTAACTCACACTCTATCAGAGAGTTTACATCCTGCCCATGCTGCTCTAAAGGTAGTTGTTGCTGGTTAGGCTTTGGTCAGAGCACCAAGAAGATGAACTGATTTAGTGCAATTCCTGGACATGGCCTCAACTAGGGGTGAACCCTTGCTGGTATAGGGTTGATCCCATTTACTCTAGTGAATTTGTAACTTCTGGCAATAATGGCCCATAGATAACAAACACAGTCAATAAACTTCTCTAATGTTCTTTGATAATTGGTATTTACTTGGAGCAAGATTATGCATTTCACACTGTTCTATGGAGTGGCAGCACTACCCTAACAACAGTAGCTGCAGCTTCTCTGCCTAATGGATCATGTTTTTTCAGAGCTCTCTGGCACTCAGAAAGAGTACAGACAGTCCTGCTATCCTCTTAAGGATGTGCAGCATGTGCCTACCTCCACGGACAGCCAGCTGTGCTGGTTCGTGAGGATGGATGATAAGTTCATGGCCCTGTCTCTTGCCCTACCTTCTCTTCCATTTATAGGGTGCCTAGCAGAGCTAGTCTCACTCAATTCTTGTATTCATCCGAATTTAGGAACTACAATGAAGATCAGTAACTGCACACAGACAGAAAGTGGACTGGGAGCCCTTCTATGCACAGCCCTTCTTGAATACCAGTGCAGGAGCCAGAACAGATAGTCACCCTTATGCTATCCTGTCTAAGGCAATGCAGCTCATGCAGCTTTATTGTACACTGCTACATACCTCCTATTCCACATTAATTCTAATCAGCTCTTGAGTGGAGATTGTCATTCAAGTAAAATTGTGACAAATTATAACAACAACTTGTTTGTGTAAACATCTACTGAGAATCAGGATTATGCAGCCAAACATATCACTTATGACACAAGTGGCATATGAATCCAAATTTCCAGAACAGTTTCACAATTCTTTATTGTGGTTCTTCATTACCCTCTTCCATTGTTACCAATACTCTGTCCACATCTACTCAGATATTTTTACTTTCCACAAAATCTATGCACAACAGATGATTTAAATTTATGTCTTCTCTAGACACACCTTCATTTTGTAGGTGTGCAATAGTTGAGACATTACTTTAGCATTTTGTCTTGTGGGTAATTAAATGTGTCCCAGTAGTCTTAGTAGTCCTTTCAGTAGTGTTTTTGTGAAGAATATGACACACTATGATACTAGGTAAAGAGGGATATAGTTCTCAATGTCCTTAATCTTCACTTGTCTGTGAAAAAATAGCTCTGGGTCCAATGTTCTAAATAGATGATACCACCCTATTCTTCACATCACTTCATAATGTGTCATTATGTTTCGGAATCCAGACAAACAATTGTTAACATTAGAGTAAACATTTTTTTCTTTATTTTTGTACCGTGTTTATAATTAAAATATGTCCACTTGATAGAAAAGACCCAGTGTAGCAGCAATGGATTAAAAAATTAGCCCTACCTCAAACTGAAAAGTGAAGCATTTAACTGAATCCCTGCTTTGAAGCTAATATGAAAACATTCTTCCTCTGGCCTGAAGAGAAGCAGACGAATCCTGTCTTAGACATTAAGCTTATTATAAATTTCTGGCAAATAAATGATGTGCATTTGTAAAGTACACTACAGAAATCACAATGTGAAATGATTGTCTGAGTGCCTGGCCCAATTTTTAGTGACACAAATCCTCTGCATCCTGTATAAATCAGTAAAGATTCCTACAGTTTACTAAAACCCATAATAATAAAGCTTTGAAAGAGCAAGCAGGACTACCATGGCCTTTTGGAATACAATTATTATCTTGCTTCAAGTGTAAAAATGTGTGTGTTTACAAGAAATCATAGATCCTCAACTTCTTCAGAGTTTTTTTTTTTTTTTCTTAAATAGTTTTTTTCACTCGGTTATTGATTACATTTCTTGAATGTTAGACACTTTATACCAACATTACTTGATGTTTAGCTTTATTTATTTATTTAGCTATTTATCTCATTGATAAATGTTGCTTTGCACAGACCTCTCCACAAATCAATATTATTGTTAATTTGCATAATTTCTTGTGCTGGTGTCGGGCACGATGCCTTGGGGCTGAAATCTAGAGAAAATGTGTTGAGCAAACAAAGCAAATGACATAAAAGAATATCTAGCAGAATCCCCTAACTTCTCAATGTAATACCTTGTCATGTCTGCAGTGACTGGTATGCTAAAGATGCAAAACCATAAAAGTTTTTAGCACCTGCATGGGAAGAAGTGTCTTATTACACTGATTCCTCCATATTGTTAAGATCAGCATTTACAAAGTCCATAGTTCGCAATGAGGTTTGCTTGTTTGATCATGTTTTTTTTTTATTCACTGATTCTCAAAATACAATAAGCCAACATGGGTCTTCCAGTCATTAGTGCAAATTAGTGAGGTTTTATTGTAGCATATGTGTTTGAAATAATAAGAAATCACCAAACATAAGGAAGTTTTAATGGCTGAGAGTCAAGTCAAGTATTTTGAACATCCTAAACTATTTTTACACCAGTAGTCATCACATCTGAGAAATCAGTCACTCTTGGAAGAACACTACTGTTTCTGAAATTGTGACGACACGGGATTGATCAGCACTGATCAGTAAAGGATTACCATCATTCTAAAAGTTCCACTTTTAGGGCCCGATTGTGCCACCTAGCTACTGCCCTCAACTGGGGGGTGAAAACAAAGCTGCACTGCTCCTGGAGCAACTCCGGAAGGAATTATGCACCAGGAAGCACAGTCCCTTGCAGAGCTCTGAGCAGCACATCACCCCTCTTCTCTAAACCCCGCACTCACTGGCTCTCAGTTTTGTTCTAGTGCCCATTCAAGACTTTGGTATGGCTCTTCAGAACCACCAATAGATAGCTTCACCAGACATCCTCTCTATCCATGATCAGACAATACAGTTATTCCCCCTCTGAGACAATACAGCTAACAAATCCCAAGACATAGCACATGAAAGCCAGAGATAAACAAGTCTCAATCAAGAGGGGTTGATTGTTCAATGATCCATTAGAGTATATTAGACTAAGCCAAAGTTTCAACAATTGTGGAGCTAGCTACACTACCTACTTTTTTTCCTAAATCATTCCACTATAGCTACTGTTCATACAAATAAACAAAAAACCTACCACCACTTCCTGGAACTTGGAAAGGGTAAAAGGAAACTAATGTCCACTTTGGACATCATCATGCAGATCCTATTCACCTCATTGAATGCTTAGATGCTATGGTAAGAAGCACTTCAGAAAACTTCAGGTATTCCTATTTGACAATTATTCTACAGTAATGGTGTATTCATCAAAATGGTAACGTACATTTTACAAGATGAGCAGCATTATTTAGATGCAATGAAACATCTGCCATTTCAAGTCTGTCACCGGTTTCAGTAAGTACAGTTCTATCAGTAACGTTGTGTGTTAAATTGATGGGGTTATTTCAAGGGGAAACTACTACATCAACATCAGGTTTGTGTGTGACACTTTATTAAAACTCAGAAAGACAGGAATTAGCCTCTTGAGACTCAAAGGTAGTTATAGTAATGTGTTTTTTTCTCATGGACAAAAATTTCCATTTTTACACATACAAGATTTATGTTCACTGAATGCTTGGAAAGTGATAGACCAGATATGACTTTCCTGGGTCTCATATTGCACGTGGGTCTTTGTTTACTCATAATGTTATTCCTATCACAGCTCTAATTTACAGTGTTTTCTGTGGAAAGAAAGCATTCGTAGATAGTATGCAGCGTTTCTAAATAAACGAGGAATCTAAAGAAAATATTTTCTTTAGAAAATAGTGTTTTAATCAGAAAATATACACGTTAAGTAAAATATTTCCTAATTTAACGTTTTATATTTAACACTTGAAATAACACATTAAAATATTAAAATATCAGCACCTCAAAGCTTAGCACTACAAATGTACATCTTTACTCTGAATGGCTGTGGCTTGGTAATTTCTGCTATCTTCTCTTTGCACTCTGTATGCTTTTTCTCTCCTCCTCTTTTCTGCTCCGAAGCCCTCTCTTATCAGATCTCTCTGATTCTCTATTTTGATCTGTACTTTTGCTCTTCTGGGTCCCCACTATCTTTTTACCTTAAGATTCAGCATTTAGTATAATCCACTTATGTCAGTTTGGTCAGCTCCTGTTAACAGAGTCGATAAGAGATACAGAATTTTCTTTATGACTGATCTCATATACTGTATACAGTGAAATGACTAAATATGCTAGGTAGAAACATGCTTCTTCACCAAACTGAGGGAGTCTTTCACCTTTAAGACACTATTGTACAAAGGAGAAAACAGGATTAGTTAAAGAGCTCACTCAAGGAGATTGCTGGTGCCTGTAATTAAGCTAGTTTGGCATTTTTCCCCATGCAGCAAATGTGAGTTACAAAACCAGGAATGGATCTAATGGTTTTTGCAATACTCAACCCAGATGATACCATTTTGACGGCCCATACTTTTGTTTTATTTATATATATGTAATTTATATATGTAATATTTTCATCCAATAAAGATCGTCTTACAACTCATTTATGATCCTTGAAATGATCAAATCTCAGACAGAGATTAGATGCTAGGCTGTATAAATCATGTGATCAACTATACACGACTTATGAAGCCAGACAAATAGTATACGAAGGATGCAAGTTATATAAAGAAATCTGAAATGCCAAATGGGAAAAAAGGACTAATAAAAGTATATTAACACCTGAATTTAAAGTCCCTGCCACACAGAGGCTGCTAAAGTGAAGAAGAGATTCAGAATTGGTTTCTTAGCAAAAGAAACAGCATTGTGTGGTATCTGTTCTTCTCTGCCCCCCACCTTGCTTTTTAAAAATAACAATACTTCACATTTATACAATTCTTTTCATCTGTTGATTTTAAAGTATCTTACAAAAAATGAGAAAGCATTGTTATTCCCATTTTACAAGTGAAGAAACTGAAATGTAGAAAGTTTACTGCAGTGGTCCCCAACATTTTACTTCATGCCCCCCTTATCCCTTTCCACCCCCCACTCCCCCAACCCGGGACTGGGAGCAGGGCTTTGGCTTGGGGGGGGGGACGTGGACGGGGTAAAGGGGCCGAGGCTGGGGCCAGCAGCCAGGGCCAGGAGCAGAGCTGGTGGGTGGCGCTCCTTCCCCGGCCCCAGCTGCGCCCCTGAACTTTCTCCATTCCCTTCTAGGGGGGGTGCATCCCACAGTTTGGGGACCTCTGGTTTACTATAAGTGTTTTGCTCAAGGTCACACGGCACATCAGTGGGAGAGCCAGGAAAAGAACCAGATCTCTAGAGTCTCAGTCTAGTATCCTATCCATAGGATCGTGCTGCTCCTGTTATTCTTCTCTTCCATACTGCATCATCATTCATCATTCTCTGCAATCTGAAAGGATAGCTAGAGGGTTACTGAACTATAACTCTCATTTCCTCCCCAACCCCAGATACCTTTAAAAGGCCAGATTAATGAGCCATAAACCTCCCAAGGTTTAGTTCCTTTGAAAATTTAGAACCCATGAAGTCTGTGTGGTCTTAAAATATACACTAATAAATTACTAATCCCTCCTCACAAGTATATTAATGTTGTGGCATGATACTTAAAGCATTTGAGACAAGATATTACTTATCACAAAGTGGTAAATAACATGTTGTTTGTGTTTCTTTTAATTCAGCAATATCTTGTGGAATTCCTAAAGCTCCATTAAATGGTGGAATCTTAACTACAGATTACTTGGTTGGCACCCGCGTTACTTACTTTTGCAATGATGGGTATAGACTATCATCCAAGGAGCTTACTACTGCAGTCTGCCAGCCAGATGGTACATGGAGCAATCATAATAAAACACCTCGTTGTGTAGGTATGTAGCATTGAGAAATCCTCTCTAAGAACATTCCTGTATTTTATTTTCATTAATCAAAAGGAGCTCTGTTTCAAATTATTTAAGAGTTCTGTTTTTGGCTAATTAATACAGTGAGCCATTTGAATACATTAAACTTGTTTTGATCATATATATATATATGTACTGCAAACTGCTGTGACAGTTGGAAAATAAATGCATTATAGAATGCATTAAAGTTAATAACTCAGTTTCAAGTCCTTAGCATTCCTGCTTCAGAAGCTGGCAGGAGCCCCCTGGCCAAGTCAGAATCTAAGGCCACGGAGTCTTAAGGAGATCTTAGACTCTCCTAATCACTTTCCCTGGTCCTCTGGGACAGCTGTGTAGCACCAATACAGATTGCAACCTCCCACCCCATGCTAATGACCCCACATCACCTAGATTCCAGGAGACGACACTGAGGAGGAAATGCACATGCAGTTCCCCAGGGACATGTGGATACTTCTCTGGCTATAAATTAGCTATGAAAATCCAAATGGGCCACCATGCTGAAGCAGAAATCTCAGCCTAGGAAAGGCGAGTGGTCCATCCAGATGTGGATCGTTCCCCATCCTATGGAGTTTTGGAAAGGGGAAAAGATGAGTGCCTCTAGAGACACAAACACGTACCCAGCAAGGTAAATTTAAGAACCTTTCCTGATATCTCTTTGTCCCTCAGGAAAAGGGGATCAGCAGCAAGAGAAGGCTTCTTGTGAGTCTTGGGGATCTAGTGCGCAAAACTCTGCAGAGCATGGAATAACTGTGGTGCTGTGGGCCTTGGGATGACAGGAGGTTAGGAAGGTGGTGGGGTACTCTCATTTGTTGTGGGGAGAAAGAACGTAGGATCCAGAGATGGGGCAATAGTTCCTTTTGCCAAGAAAGATCCAATGTGCTAGTGACCACATACATAAGGATTACAGCTCAGCCCTATGCAGATTATGAAATCAGACACAGACTCCAAATAGGAAGCTATTATGGTTAAAATTTGACACTGAATTCATAGGAACAAATATTCATTATTTCATATTCTTGTTAACTTGTACTTCCTGAGCCACAAATACTGGTCTCATAGGGATTTTTTTGTTGATTTGTTTTGTTTTGTAAGTTGTTACATGTCCAAGCATCAATTCCTTTACTTTGGAACATGGGAGATGGCGAATAGTGAATGGCTCACATTATGAGTACAAAACAAAAGTTGTTTTTAGCTGCGATCCAGGCTATTATGGTTTGGGACCAGCATCCGTTGAGTGTCTTGCTAATGGAACATGGAGTTGGAGAAACGAGAGGCCTTACTGCCAAAGTGAGTATACATTGTGTGTAAACCTTCCTTGTAGGTGGCACATAGAAAAATATTTTCCCCCAGTTTAGTGGAATAGCAGAACCCTTCCTGTGACAGAATTCCCTGGATAGGCCCAAGGCCAATCTTTGTAAAGTAATATACATTATTGTTAATGAAAATCAAGATGATTACATTTATGGTAATAGGGATGTGCACACCCAATTGTCCTCTTGAGGTGTCTGTCACTAGTACAGGTACACAGAGGGGGATGAACAGAGCACAAGGTTTCTCTCCACCCTACCCTGCACACCCCATGCAAGGATCATACACAATAGCTTTCTGTCCTAGTGAAGTATAGGGACTGTTCTCTCCTAGAGCCAGCAGTGGTACAAGCCACCCCCTAAAGATCAAGAACTCTGACTAGGTGCACTAGGAACATGGTACAGCTTTCACACTCACTTGAGACAGCAGAGAAGATATACCTATCTCATAGAACTGGAAGGGACCCTGAAGGGTCATCGAGTCCAGCCCCCTGCCTTCACTAGCAGGACCCAGTACTGATTCTACCCCAGACCCTTAAGTGGCCCCCTCAAGGATTGAACTCACAACCCTGGGTTTAGCATGCCAATGCTCAAACCACTGAGCTATCCATCCCCCCAGTAGGGAGGGATTTTTCTTTAGGAGCTTGCTTGGGTTGGTGAGGATCTGCATCATCTTCACCACAAGCTGGTATCCTAATAGCACCACCTGGCTGCATGGGCTTTAAGAGAGAGAAGTAGTGAATATAAAGTATAATGGAGACAGGAACTTTTAAAAAAGGAGGCTAAAATATGTAATCTTGTGTGGCTAAATATAGGCACCTATGAGAATCAGGCCACTTTTATAAAGGAGCATTATGCCCCCATGTTTGAAAGGTTTGGACTTGTATTATTATCTGAGGACTACACAACCAGTATTTCATTGTTTTCCCCTCTAAAGAACCAAATAACTACCATTCTTCTGGAAAGTGGGTCAAAATTAGCGTTTATGGGTGCATGTACATATAAAATCCCTAACAAAATGTACAGATAAGCTCATATACAATATTTATAATAATCCCTATTTAGGAGAGAACACAACTACAACTATTAATAGACAAAAGACTCCAAAATACAGTTTAAGATATTTAATGAATTAGATATTTAATAATTCAAAATTATTTTCATCTTCTTGGAAATTCCAGACTTAATTTGGAGGGGGGGAGTTCCCCCCTCCAAAATGGGAGTTCTTTTAAAACAATTTAGGCTCTCTGTGTTGAAATATTGTATGTAAATCCTGCTTTGACTCTTCCAGAGAGAAAGTAGTAATTCATTATCACTTTGAAGTGCTATGTACAACAAAGTCCAATCCTTCCGTATTATGCTAAGGCCTCATTCATCTATCTGTACACCTAAAGTTTTTCAGAGTAGCACTAAAGTTAATTTTCCTAATTGCACTATTTCCATTTATTAAAAGTTTTTAAAGAGAAAACATTGTCTTCTTCTAAATCAGAAAATTCTCTGGATTGTGACTAAAAGAATGGACTTACTGAACATAATTCATCCAATATTAAAACTCCGTGTTTTATAAATGCTAGGGCATGTGATGTACAATGACGTACAAGATACAAATTATATAATATATCCTCTGTCCAAAGAAACTCAAATGTACTGTTTTACAAAAATAATAACAAAGTGAGCATAGAAACGTTTATATTTCATTCACAAAAACTAGATAATTAAATATCAATGATTTTTTGTTTATTAAAATTTTCTAATTGGTTTTAAAAAATAATTTTACAGTGATAATTTAAAATAGTTTTCAAATGTTGAGCAAGAATCCTCATGACATAGTCTTTATTTTGCACACAGATTTCTGTATCCATTTTTCCCACAGATCAGAATAGACTACCCTCCGGTGTTTATTTTAACCAGTCAAAAACGTGTATTAAATGTTTTTAGTGAGATGCTCAATACAAAATGTGTATTTTTTCCCTTAAAGTTATTTCTTGTGGAGAACTTCCTGTACCTCCCAATGGGAATAAGATTGGAACTCAAATCACATATGGATCTACAGCTATATTTACCTGTGATTCCGGATTCATGCTAGTTGGCTCTACTGTAAGGGAATGTCTTTCTTCTGGACTCTGGAGTGGAACTGAGACCAGATGCTTAGGTATGGAAACTGTAATAATGGCCTGTCTGCTTTCTTTTACAACCTTTCTTTAGCAGGCATCAGCAAAAGTCAACAAGGGCCTCTTCTTCCATGTACGGAACTCTTATGACTGTGATGAGTCCTATTTTTTTCTTAACAATAGATATTTATGGGGGGAAATCTACAGTCCAGTTAGTGTTTATTGACTCTATCCATCCCTATGCTTTACAAGAGTCTCAAGTTTAAACTAAAGGACCTAAATGTACCTACATTCTTATTAATGGACCTAGATGTCCATGTATGTCTCTTTCAGAATCTACTCCCGAACCCCCCACATTGTGAGCAGAGTTGAGATGCTTTTTGAGGGTTTCTTCTGTGCTCAGTGGAGTAATTTCAAGGACCCATTTCAGTGAATTTTGATTCAGCATGTTTTGTTCTTGATTATTTTGTTGACTTTATTAGAACTGCATGCAATTAACATTTTCTTTTCAACGGAGGTCAAAGTGGTGATAAAGTTTTGATTTTTGAATGTAGCATTATAGTCCCATTTTCTCTTATTATCCTTCAGGTAGTAGGTGAGGAATATTAAAATATCCATAAAGTGGGATTTTCATAACTATCCATACTAGCATCCTTCAGTAAAAATGCAGTACATTTAAGGCCTGGGCCAGCATACCAGTGGGAGGATTCCTTGTGTACAGTTTGCTGATATATTTGTACGCTATTTTTTTTCTTTGGGATAGCTGTGTTTCTGTAGCTCAGATTTTCTTCCTGTGTCAGTCTTCAGCTAAGACAGCTCTAGGCTTCAAATGATTCATGGATGAGCAAAAGAGTTACCTGTATATCCATAAATCTTTAGTAGAATTTTTTTGGCTGACTCATAGTAGAGGGGAATGTGTTATTTTTATTTGTGTTTCCTTTCAGTTTAATATGCATAGCACTTGACAGAGAAGAAAGAGGATTCCGTTATTTGATAAATGTTTTTCTTTAAATTAAAAGATATGATGAGGCAGAATATTTAAAAACTAAAAGCCATATATACCCATACCATGTGTAGATTCAAAATCTACTGAATTTTTCTTCCATAATTACCTGCTTGTTTATTAAGGTCACAGCTATTATAGATTTGGAGAAATGAGAAATAATTATGAGAGAATCATTAGTCTCAAAAATGCTAACTTCTTAAAAAAGCTTAGAAAAGCTTGGCTGTTACTTTTGCAGAGCATCTTGAACAGATTCTTTTTAATCAATTTAAGCAAAACAACTTCTTGCCAAGTAAGGTAGTAAGTATTTTAAGTCCCACTTTTATTTAACTTTGCTTAATTTTTGCCTGTAGAAACATAGGACATTACTAATAATGAGCTTGAAAATATTATCAGGTTATACAATCTGTAATGAAAACTTGAAAGGGATAACCTGAGTTGACCAGTCTTATATGAAATATGCAGTGACACTTTTTTCCCTGAGTTGTATTTGTTATTGTTAAGTGACAACACTGTAATATCCAATAGTAATAAGTTATTGACAAGGGGTATGAAAAGAACAGTATCAAAAGAGTTTAGAGTAATCAAAAAAAGTAATAGCTGAGTCAGAGTAACATGAGCACCAGAGTATGTTCTCAAATGTATTTTAAAAACTTTAATTCTGTCAATGGTACTTTTTCAAAGGAGAAGGGACAAAATTTTACTGATAGAAATGGCAGACTGGGCACAATGTTACTGTAAAATTTGACAATGGTAACAGAAGCTGGTGATAGGAGAAATATATCAAATGGAGACAAGTAACACTCACTCAACTTTGTTGTTCTCAGAGCAGTGCCCCTGCTGGCTGCTTTTTGAATTCCATATGTTTGGGAGCGAAGTGGGGGTTTTTTCTTCAAAAAACTGTGATAGGTTCTATATTTCCTTCCCCAGAGAGTAATTTGGTGTTGACTGATGGGACTGTGGTGCTGAGATCTGATTGAAGGACAGGTATTTGATTAATTAAGTTGGAAAGATAGTAAACAGATGGTTTTGGAGAGAATGAGGAAAACAATAGAGGGAGGCAAATAGTGAGCTATGATGGACCCATAAGGCAAAAAGAGCGAAGAAGATAAAGGGAAGGTTGGCCAAGAGAACAAAATGTGGTCATGGACATGGACATGAGCAAAAGAAGACAGAACATAGTAGAGAGGGAAAAAATGAGCTGATATAAAAGAGAAGAATAAATAGGGAACTGAACTTTTCAATCTCACAGACAAGGCATAACAAACAACAGTGTCTGGAAGTTGATGTTAGAAATAATATTACATTGAAATGATTGGTTTCAGAGTGGTAGCCGTGTTAGTCTGTATCAGCAAAAAGAGTGAGGAGTACTTGTGGCACTTTAGAGACTAACAAATGTATTTGAGCATGAGCTTTTGTGGGCTAAACCCCACTTCATCGGATGCATGCAGTGGAAAATACAATAGGAAGATATATATACACAGGGGACATGAAAAAATGGGTGTTGCCATATAACTATAACGAGAGTAATCAGTTAAGGTGGGCTATTAAAACTTTTGTAGGGATAATCAGGATGGCCCATTTCCAACAGTTGACAAGAAGATGTGAGTAACAGAAGGGGGAAAAATTAGCATGGGGAAATAGGTTTTACTTTGTGTAATGACCCATCCACTCCCAGTCTTTAGTCAAGCCTAATTTAATGATGTCCAGTTTGCAAATTAATTCCAATTCTTGTTGGAGTCTGTTTTTGAAGTTTTTTTGTTGGAGTATTGTGACTTTGAGGTCTGTAATCGAGTGACCAAGGAGATTGAAGTGTTCTCTCACTGGTTTTGAATGTTATAATTCTTGATGTCTGATTTGTGTCCATTTATTCTTTTGTGTAGAGACTGTCCGGTTTGGCCAATGTACATGGCAGAGGGGGCATTGCTGGCACATGATGGCATATATTATATTGGTAGATTTGCATGTGAACGAGCCTTTGATAGTGTGGCTGATGTGATTAGGTCCTATGATGGTGTCCCCTGAATAGATTTGTGGACAGAGTTGGCAACAGGCTTTGTTGCAAGGATAGGTTCCTGGGTTAGTGTTTTTGTTGTGTGGTGTGTGGTAGCTGGTGAGTATTTGCTTCAGGTTGGGGGGCTGTCTGTAAGCGAGGACTGTCCTGTCTCCCAAGATCTGTGAGAGTGAGGGATCGTCCTTCAGGATAGGTTGTAGATACTTGATGATGCGCTGGAGAGGTTTTAGTTCGGGGCTGAAGGTGACGGCTAGTGGCATTCTGTTACTTTCTTTGTTGGGCCTGTCCTTTAGTAGGTGACTTTTGGGTACTCTTCTGGCTCTGTCAATCTGTTTCTTCAGGGAGAGGGTAATTAAACATTGCATCAGTTTACCAGTTGTGGTGGTGGTGGTCTCACTGTTGCTTGGAGTCTTCTAAATGAGTTTAGATATTTTTTTCTAAAAAGTATGTTTAAATCCAGTTTTGGGTTGGATGGTCATGGTAGTAGTTTCTGACCATGTAATCTATCAACTGTCCCCTTCCTTCGTCAGCCACGGGGAGAACAGAATTGCCTGTATTACCCTCAACGTTCTCAAAACACTTGCAGCTCTGCATTAAGATAAAGCCAATAATTAAATCTCATGCTTCAGGGCTCCAGTGGTCATCTGCAGAGGTCACAGAGGATTTTTTTCTCTAGTACACAGTTGGCCAGATGTATTCTGGGTTTGTTTGTTTGTTTGTTTGTTTGTTTGTTTGTTTGTTTTCGCCTTCCTCTTGAAGCATCATGGATTGCACACAGAAATGGGACACTGGATGGAGTGAATCAGGGCTGTGAGGTGGTACAGAGAACTTTCTTTGTTAGATGCCTGGTTGGTGTCTTTGCTCACATGTTCATGGTCAAACTGATCGCCAGATTTGGGGTTGGGAAGGAATTATTCTCCAGATCATATTGGCAGAGGCCTTGGGCTTTTCACCTTCCTCTCCTGCTGGCATCATCTGTGTATATCTCACGTAATAAATTCCATTGCTACTGCTTCAGGCATTGGTGGCACCTGGATCTCTCCTGTTTTCTGGCAGTGGCACGAAACAGTTTAGTCTCCTGAGCATTGAAATGCTTTAGTCTCACTAAAGTCATTGGGCTCAATATAGGGGCATCTGGGTGAAATTTAATCAGCTGTAATACAGAGGAGGTCAGCCTAGGTGATCTGCTAGTCTCCTCTGGTCTTAAACTTTGTGAAACTGAAAGTGCAGTGGGAGGGAGAGTAAGAGGGAGTAGCTAATTCACTGTGGAAGGGAAAGAGTTAAGTGAGCTGGGAGTGAGTAAACTGGTTGAGGTGGAGACAGGAATGACAGGTGGGAGGAGTGAGAGAAGGGAGAAAGAAAAGTTGGGCTAGTTTCTCCATTACCTGACCTCTTGCATAGTCTTTTAAACTTCTGCCAAGTGGCTATGAATCATTGCCAGATCAGACTGGTGGTCTTTTATACCCACCTTACACAAGGGAAAGGCCCCAATTCAGTAAAACATTCCTTTTCAGCAAAGCTTCCATGGAATCCAATGTACTTATGCACATGCTTTGCAGAATATGGATGGATATGAGCTCATGCTTAAGTGGTTCCCTAAATTGTGACCCAAATTACTAGAAATGGTACTAGCAATGGAAAATCAGGCCACTGGATGGGGAAGAGAGAAATAATAAAGTTTTTAATGGGGAAAAGCTACAGGGAAACTTTGGGGAAATAGGGCAGAACTGAGGAGTTAGTCTACATTTGTTGGTTTGTTCATAAAACATAATTAGCTCATGGCAAGCAAGTCTAGTATTATAAACAAGTACCAGGTAGGTTTCCTCTTTTTAAATATAAATGTTTGATTGTTTATTTATTTACTCTTTTTTGTGGGAGATGGATAAACTTTTGGTTTTGTCTGTGTGGGAATAGTTATTGTATACTCTTTTCTTTGTATTTCAGATTTAGTATTCTATTTTCATATTTACTTCTTTATAATTTTATATTTAATACTTGTCACTGAAAAATAATTAAAAATAAAA